TGAAATTCTTAACTATAAAAGAGATTTGCACATTATTCAAATTACATTACTGCCCATACGCCAATCATATTAAACACTTAAAATGAACTACAGACTAAACAAGAATATAAGACTGGTTTGAAAAGTCGTGCAAAGCAAACCCGGACGCCCTCACCTCGTGGCGCTCCGACCGATGCCACCGGACTCCGGCAGGCAATGCAACCGGCAGCCGAATGCTAGCCACCTTCTTTGTCGTCGGGTGTTGTTCAACAGCACAGACAACAGGCACCCAGCCAGGCGCATCGCCCGACGAAAGTCCGATGACATCGGCAGGATGATAAAATAAAGCCAGCGCCTCGGATGACTCTAATGGAATAAGGAAGAAATGTTGTCATTAACTCCTCAAATCATAATTTCTCTTTTATTCAGACTTCTTTTTAACATTATAAAAAAAAATTACTTTTGGAAAGCATATGATGCCAAGCCACAACCATGACTGTAACCTGCCTTCAAAATACCTGTAATTGCTTACAGAGATGGTTACTTTAGTTCCTAACGCCAACGAAATATGCTTAAGGGCCTATGTTCAAACCGTTAAAATGATTTCACATTTTATTGGTGGATTTGCGAGAAAGTTGATTGTGTTCGAGACACTGTAATGAACTTGAGCTTTCACAGATTAACTTGTTTGTCCAAAATTCGTATTAATTGTCTGTCAGAGCCGTGAGGCACCAATTGAATAATTGATTGCGTTGGACGTGTTCACTTAGTGCTACGTGTGGTGGTAACAGCTGGAGTTAATAATTAGAATTTTTCTTTGCAAATAAATCTCTAGATACTGTTATCCTCTTTAAAATTCAAAATAAGTTTGTCACTAAAAATTCGCTGTTATTTCTTCTTCTTCTTTCCTTTCTTTCCCTTTCCTTTCTTCTTCTTTGGCGCGTCCGGCCATGCAAACCCGCGAAAGGCAAGAAACTCGACGGGACCATGAGATATGTAATATGCATTAGTCATTGCTTCTGGACTCATGAGGTCTATCGGTTTGGCAGCTGGTTTTGGTGATGCAGATTTTGACTTTTTCTTTCCTTTTTTACTTGGGCTTCGACTTCTGCTCCTCCCTCTAGGCCGGGCTTTTGCACTTTTACTGAAACCCTTCTTCCCAACCTGTAAGTCAACATTAGTCAAAGGATAAAAATTATATATACATTTATATTATAAGCATTTTTGTTGGTAATGTTGCATAAACGTATTAAAATTATTATTATGGTATCAATTTCAATATGAATGTAAATGGCTAGTTCATAAAGAAATTCAATCAATTAATAATATTATTAATAAAGGACAATATGTAAGAAGCAAAACCTAGAGTATGGTATAAAAGAAAAAAAAAATTGCAATTAATTGAATGAATGGAACCTAGACAAATTATAGATAGGTCTATTAGATGATGTTAACAATGCATTATATCTGATAACATATATATCTGTCTCTTATACACATCTAGATGTGTATAAGAGACAGGTATTGGTGTCGAATTGACCTCGTGTCAATGTTAGGACACGAAGGTCTAGGCCTACAACAGGTTAGTTGTGGACTTGTTTAAAGGTGATTGTAAGCAAGACAGAAACTCATACATTATATTAAGATGACAATGGTTAACTTCAAAATATTTTTTTCTTTCACTGTCTTGAACACATACAGAAGAATCACTTTATATAAATATAATCAAAATGATATGAAATGAATTGATAATGCAAATCGAAGATAACTAAATGTATCAACACTTGAATTCAAACTTTGATCTCGGTAATTCCCCCGTCGATTTATAATCACGCAGTTATGTTACTGCAACAGATTTCCTGCTTCACAACAAGACATCCATTCATAGAAACTTTTAAGAAGAGAGCTTATTGTTGACTTCTTCGAAGTAGTCTAGATTAGCTCAATTTGCTTTTTGTTTTTAAGATTGAATATGTTTTATAACAGACAGATGGATTAAGGCTAGGTGTAGGCTATTTTAGTAATGATTAATTATTATCTAATATTAATTTGACTAACTCACAGATTATAGTACATCAACGTAAATGTTAAATATTTGTTAATATTTATTATTCTTTATTGAATGTTATAAAACAAAGATAAGGAAGAAGGAAGGATTTCAATAATTTTCTGTAATCATATTACAGCTAAATCTTACGTTTTTGTTGTATATTTAGGGAGTAATCATTATAGGTACCGAGCCAATAATAACATTTTCGAAATTGAATTCTAGCCAATCTTTGCAGCGTATAAATGTATTCTTTACACACTCATAATTATATTCGAAATGCATGAAGACTTTTGTTGTCATACTGACGTTACTTACCATTCTGATGTGTGGTTTTTAGCGGTTGGTGAGTCAATATATTTAAGTAGATAAATAGTCAGTTTCTTCAACTTTCTAGGGATAAAAAAAAAGTAATATAACAAAACAAAGTTATTTTATTTTAAGTACAGTGGGCCTAGGAGTAGCTATGGCCTCACTTTACCGTACTCGCTTATGTTTAATAAAGCACTAGGCACAGGTTAGGTTAAAAGCACTTACAATTATTATAATTTTTTTTTAATTAATAATATAATTAAAGAGATCTGTGATCCACAAGTATGAATGAGTAGGCCTATACGTATATTTTTGAGATAATATTATTAATATGAATACAAATACGATAACAGTTTATAGAAATTTTAAGTAAAATACAAACTGAAGTTTAACTTTTAAAAATACATAATAAAATATCAATATAAAATCAGAAAAAAATAAACAAGCTAAGAACAAAGGGGTAACATAGAGCAAAACAAACAAAAGGGATAAGGACACATTAAAACAGTAAAAATGAAAACAAGATAAATATGTTAGCAATGGGTACTTAAAACAATTTAAATAGATATTAAAAGGACATGAGAATAATATAAAGAAAACAAGAACTACTATTGGTTTGGCTAACAAAATCATTAATATTATTCAAATTATTACAAATAATTGTTATAATTTTACTTGTGTAATAATTATATGGGTCCTGGTCCTAGGCCAAATACTTTGCTGTCCATTAGGCAAAGCCCATGTTTTTAGAGACACTCAATAGGGGTCTATTCTAGAATTATTTTAATTCATTTATTTGAATTTTATGTCCTTCTCAACAATCCTCAACAATGATAAGAAACTACATAGGCCTAGCCAGCCAGCCAACGCCCATCATTAAATCATTCCCAACAAAAAAAAAAAAAAAAGAAAAAACTAATTTTGAATAAATAATAATGTGGACCAACAGGTCACCGTTTCTGGATAGGGGCCTAGTACTCTAGGTGGGCCTACTGCCACTGTATTACTAGGCCTACTACTGAACTGGTACGGGCCTAGTACAGTAATAGCAGGGAGTTGTTAATTAGATCTTTTTAGATCTAATTAACAACTCCCTGGTAATAGTATAACACAGTAGTAGAATTAGCCTAGAGTTAAATACTTCGGCTGGAAGTGGGACCTCCCCGCATCACATGCAGTTCGCACCTTGCTAGTTTGCTACATCTACCATACTGCTGGCCCATGGGCCTGGCCTATGCCCCTAACTAAACCTAGCATAGGCCTCTCTGCCAGGCCCTAGGCCAGGTTTACTTGGTAGACTTCATTTTTCTCTAACTAAAAATAGAATGCTGTATTACTAAATTAGGCCTACTGTTTTAGCATTACTTACCATAGCATTTTCCTAAGAATTCTGTCAACTTTTAAAAAGAAATCACTCTACTACTTTTCGAGTTGAGAGAAATGTTTACACTCCGCGAGCGTCGTGTTGTTGCTATCAGCTAAGATAATCAGGGAAGTTTGGTTGTTGTCTTTCCCGCATTGTTGTCGTTGCTATGAGAACGAAGTTCAACTGGTTAGGGTTAGGACCCTTTTGTTTTGGACGCTCGGTGGTGGCGGTGTTCGTTTTCCTTTTTTCTTTTCTTTACATTTCTCTAGTACCAAACGGAAAAGTAATGAGTTGATTTTTGTTCTGATTTTGTTTTATTTTTCAATCCAGTTTTGCTATATTTTAGTACTTTGGCCACACGAACATGCTTGGATCTTCTCTACAAGCAAAAACTTATCATCAAAAGATGCGCATAAAAAATGACTAACGTTATTCTACAGCAGATAGGTAGTAGCTAGCTGCGTCTGACTTGACGTGATTTACTGTTGCAGCACTACATCTCACTACCATCGATTTTTTTTTTATTTTAGTGTAATTTTTACTTCATAATTTTTGTAATTTTTAAAAAAATATATATTTTTTTTTAATGCCAATCAGAGGAAAAGCCATATTGATGTTGGTCCCTCTCTCGAGCAAATCCTGGCGCCATCACTGTTCCTTCTCACGTTAGTCGTCGAAATGTACAGATAATGTGGAGAAGCAGGCCTATATAACCGATTAATAAAACATATGGACTCTTCCGCTGAGCCCCGTCCCTTGCATTATTGCTGAGGTCCTGTAACGGTGGTGTATCTAGGGGTGCACAAGCCACCTCCACTCCAACTGTCCCCCTCCCCACCCACACACACACGCCAAAAAAAAAAAATCACGCTCAAGTAGAAAACCGCATCAAATCAACATATTTTGCGAGCTAGCGCCCCTAACAAAATCATCTAGGCCCCCACCCCACCATCACCAACTTTGTTATTTAGAAAAAAAAACGAGCAGATGTCATTCAGACCTTTAAGATTTTTCAAGGTATTGATCTTTTGGACCCTGAGCGCTTATTTACAAGATCAGATTATTCTATAACCAGAGGCCATGTATATAAGTTGTACAAACAGAAATTTAAACTTAATGTTAGGAAAAAGGCATTCGTTGTTCGAGTTACTGACGATTGGAACTCCCTTCCTAGTAATGTGGTAAATCAGAGTTCAGTAAATCTTTTTAAAGCGGGCTTAGAGCAGTCAAGTGGTTCACAAAGAAAACTTTAGAACACTCACAATACAGATAGGTCTATAAGATAAGAAAGTTAACAATATAAAACCTTTTATTATTGCATTATAAGATATTAAAATATTTGGTTTAGGACTTAGAACATGATAACAAATTACTTAAAAACCATTTAAAATCAAAAACATTCCAAAAATATATTTTATGTACAACTGCCATTAAGCAAACCCATGTTGATTATCAAGGAGAATTTATTGTCTTTTAGAGAAAAAAAAATAATAGAGTCCGAGCAACAATTCTCTATCATTATTTTGCCTATAGAAGAACGTAAAGAAATCACCCATATATAGAGAGAAACAAAATTGTAAGATTTTAAGTCTTTTTTACGCGTAAAAAATATTATCTGATGGGCATAACATATTCTAATTGATGTACTAACATGAATATCATTATTATTTTAAATATTAAAATTATTCCTACATTTATTTTTTCATGTGGCTAATTATATTAACTTAATATATTGATTGATGTATTAAACATAATGCAGAAAGAGTAGGGCCTGACACCTAACCTAAATAGGTTCTTGTCATTTGATTGGTGGATTTTGTATCACGTGACATTGGTTATTTATCCTATTTCGTCACTCATCAATGAATTAGTTCCACCGTGCACATTTAGGCATACCACATCCTAGGAAACGAAGACTCTTTCAAGAAAGTTAAATCCATGGAATGGGATCCATTACACGACGCCTAGGATACAATGACTTCAACCTAATACAATCTTTTGATTGGTTAATACTGGACACTGGACTGTTCCATTTAAAAAAGTGTAGATATTTTTTTTTTTTAAATATGTGTGTTGTAAAACAAATATTAAATGTTCTTTTATTAGCGCAATAGAAAGAATATTTTCGTTCGTTGAAGGATTGACTGTTCAATTCAACTCAACTCAATTTTTCAACTCAAATTTCTTCCCATTGCGATCATAAACATTCATTTTGTAGGCCTATAAAATTGTCTATTAATCGAGATATTAAGGAGCATTTAGATGTCATTCTAATAATTGAATATTTTAATGTTGTTTGCTCCGTAATTTGCTACTGCTACTCTTCTTGGTCTATTTGAGATTATTGCGATTCCGACTGGGGTATCTAATCCATCATCTTCATGATCTATTCGTTTTATGAAGACACTGTTTTTACCGAATAATTGTAATTTGTCATTACTTGATATTATTATATTTTCATCCATATCTATTGCTACACCACAAGGACAGAATACTTTGCCATCTCCCTGTCCACGGTCTACAAGTATTCTCATAAACTTATGATTTGCATCACACGTTTGTATTCTGTCGTTTTCAAACTCGGCAACAATCACATGGCCTTCTTTAGTTAAAGTGACATCTTGTAGACCCTTTATTCCACCTTCTTTACTACCTTTTAAACCTATCTTACCCAGCATCCTGCCATCATCAACATTAAATGTATACACACAGTGAGCATCATAATCTGCTACATACAAGGTTCTAGTTTCCTTGTTTAAGGTCAAGCCTTTTGGATATTTCAACATTCTTTTACCAAATGAGCGGACTTTTTGAAACTTTTCATCACACATTACAACACATTGTCCTGCGTAATCACTATACAACATGTCACCGTCACCTATTTGATGCATTCTATTGACCATCACATCACGTGGAACCTGTATCCTAGCAATAAACGAACCTGATTGTTTGAACTTCAATACGTCTTTACTGTAGCTTGATACTAATATGCATCCATCTCTATCTAACGCCACATCTGTCACGTGCTCTAGTTTATCATGTTCTTTATAATCAGATATGTCATCAATGGTATGAACAAGCCCAAGTGTTTCCACCTTGACATTCACTGGTGATCCTTTGACGTGTGCAGCTCAAGTAGTGATTTGCATTTGCCAATCACCTTCCCCATTGCATCTACCTTTTACTTTATAATCTCCATTTCTATTATATTCGACCTCGGTTGCCGATTCTTCACCTGATGAGTTTATTAATGTTGCATCTAACTGACATGCATTACTCGCTGATAGATTTGATACTTTCACCGAAAACGGTTGTCCCTTTGTGACAGTAATTGCTCTATCCTCACCTGCAACCTCGTACGTCATATCAACAGTTGTGATTTTACCGATGCCTTCATTATTCAGTAACTCATCCAAGTGTGTGCATGGAATGAAATTTGGTGTAATATTTATTTTAAGAAATGATTTATCAAAATCAGCGTTTAGGACCTTGTCTTTTACAGCGTTGATAGTTGTCTTATGCGATCCAAAAGTCTCTCGTTGTTCTGGTGTGTTCATTTTAGTGACTGTGGTCATTAAATTATTCACTTGAGTTTTCTTTGAATCAATATCTTTAAATTTGCAATCAATGTCATCTTCCTTTTCTTTGTATCTCTTTTCAAGATCTAAAATTAATTCTTTGCTTTTCTCTTTAACTTTCTTAATAAGTTTATTTTCCTGAATTTCAATGGCTGTTCTACTTAATTTTAGTTGTGATTTTAACACTGATTTATTTTTAGCTATAAATTCTAGTTTTTCTGATAATTTATTTTGAATTCCATGTGCTAATTTGATAAATTCACTGGTATCGTTGTTGAAATCGTCCACAGACATTGACATTGGAATCACTTTATGCTGTTCCTGATAACAGGTAAGGATGTGTTCACATTGCTTACATGCTGATTTTTTGCAATCGGAGCAGTAAAATTCCAGATGCGATTTGCAGTGAACTTGGCAATTGATTGGTTGGTCATCTTGTTCCTTCAAGTCTAGTGTGTAGAGTGGATGATCTCTAGTAAATTGTACCATCTTGTGTTGTTTGATGCACTGACCTCCACATAGATAGTGTTGACATGTCGAGCAGTGATATGCTGGTTGATTGTCACAGAATGAGCATTTAGTTGGTGTTTGATCCTCGGTTTTTATTACATACTCTAGTAGTTGACTGATCATTGTATTTGAAGCCAGCTTTTTTAAATCTTCCTTTGTTAAATCATGTTCTTGGCCACACGTTGGGCATTCCATCTTTCCATGCATTTCCACCCATTTCTGGATACACTGTAGACAATAGGTGTGCATGCATTCCAGTGTCTTTGGTTGTTCAAACCTGCTGAGACAGATGGCACACTCAAGATCTTTTTTATCCATAAACTGTAATGCTTTGGATACAGACATCTGTAAAGACAATATAGATACTTGGTAAATTATAATTTTCTCTAAATAAATATTTACCACCAGAGACACTTTATAATGCAACTGACGCCACACATATAGAGCGCATTTTGCAGAAAAAAACTCATTGCACATTATAACAAAAACAGCAGTAAATTTTGACGTAAACTACTAATAAAGTAAAAACAGTTCAGATAAGCATGTGCTTTGATCTTACTTAGAATTTTAGAATATAATTATATCAACCTTACCTTGAATCAAGTATCGACAGAGCTAATGTGTGCCTGGTTACTAATATGTACCTTCATCAGTTGAATGAATATGTGTTCTGATACAGTACCTTTATAATATTAACAGGATGGATTACTGATAATGTTGTTTTAAGAGGTTGAAGTTCAAAGCAAGTGGCACCATCAAATTACGATTTAGTGCTTGTTTGGTCTTACAGATAACTCTATAATAAGAAACAAATTAAAATAATTTAGAATTTGGTGGAAAAATTCTTTCTAGACAAAAATGTGCCTAATCACTACGGTAAATAGCCAGAGACGAGCCACAAACACATACATCAGGCTAGATTATAGACCTGCCTAAAATATAATTCAGATATCATGTTAATATCACATATATTCTCAAATATCACAATAGGGCTATCAGGGGCGGATCCTATCTGTTATTGAAAAGGAGCGGGGCGAGGGATTTCGCCTCTTGGTGTAAAGTCTAGCTTAGCACTTTTATGAAAATTGTAGTTGACGGTAATCTTGGTACTCTCTAGTATGCATACATTGTTGTGACCAGTAATAAATCGTACAATGGATGTTAACTTAATTAACTGCGAACTTTCGTCGAGTTTTCGTGTAAGTTAGTATCCATTGTTTATTAACCACATCATAAAGAAGGGGATACGCCCCTCCGCCCCTGGCTATAGTCTTAAAAGTTTGAACAAGTTGTAATTAGGAAACAATTATGAAATTACATGGAAACATCTCGAGCTGAACATCAAAGTTTATAACCCGCGGTACCGCCGTTCTTATCATAATCAACTGAAAAAAAATTTACTAATTACATTTGCTTTGCGCATGCTCGCTATCGTGTTTTCATTATGATCGACGTATCTACCAGGGCCCAACAGTATTTGGGCCCTGGTAATTACACCACCTAGGGCCTAAATGTTATACAGAAATAATAAAATTAATTTCAATGTTCCCTGGTTACAGTTATATAGATTCAATATCCCATATACAATTGTGGAATTCTATATTCCAGTAAATCAGGGGTGGGCATAAAAATCGGTCGCAGGGCCAAAGTGAATTTCTGATTTAACACCCGAGACGAGGGCCGCACCCAAACTGTGATCTTTCCTGAGTCCGCTTCAAAAACCTCCAAGCACTGCTTTTACACCACTTTATTCCCAGTTTTAATATTACTTTTTACATGATCGGTGTCAGGCCGTAAAAAACAAAGTGTTTTCTAGCCAATGTTGCTTGCACGGGCCGCACACATAGGGTTATTTCATATTCGCTGTCGGGCCGCACTTAGCCCATACAGCTGCCAAAGCTGTTTTTGTAAAGCCAAGAGTTGTTTACTTGAATCAACTACTCAACACAAATGGTACGCCTGTTTTTATACATTTGGGCCTACTTATTAATTAGCACCGGTAATTTTCGGAGGCCTGTCAGTGCATAACATGCCTATAAATAACTAAATTTCAAATATAAAATATAATATGCAATACCTGGAAGACTGAACTCGCTTCTTGCAACTGTAAATATGACGCGCCTTTAAAACTGGGAATTCCCCAATGGCTTACGGACAAGTTTCTAAATAAACATTGCTGTCAAACAAATTTGATACATTTGTGATTATTGTTATTCATCCAGGTAAGTATTATAATACAAATAATAAATCTTGGCCTGGTGATGCGTCCTGGATTGAACGCAAAATATTCAAGAAATAAGCAAGAAAGTCCATCTGAAAAGATTTGTTCTTCATAAGCCTATTATAAATTTGTAGTTTTACTGTTTAAGGAAATTATTATTTAGACATTAGATGACGATTTTTCTGAATGTTTTCCTGATTTTATGACAGTTTTACAGTGGTTTCACGATATTGAATTTTATTACATTTAATCAGGGGTGTCATTAAGATTCTCCCAACAGGGTGTCCGGTGTAATAGACAAGGGAGGTGGGGGCGTTTGTTTTTATTTCATGCGCAAACATGCATGTGCAATGAAAATCAACAAAAAACAAGATGTTTCCGACGTAAGCGTAAAAATGGTCGCGTGTCGCTAGAAATCTGCAATCGGGAGTTGTCCAGGGAGAGAATCCCCAGAAAATATGAACATTTTGGAAATAAGTCTTCTTCAGACTAAATTTCGTGTGTTATTCTTGGTGTTCACACCAAATATAGTAATCCATAATAATTTTTTTTTCCCTCCACGACGAATTGTGTTTTCCTCCACGACGAATTGTTTGTTTCCCCGAGGGGTAGAAGCCACCTTCTGCACTTAATGTAACTGTTTGAGGCTCTGTCAGCTATCAAGGCCTACGCGACAAATCTGATTTGCCCACATGGCCATATAATGACGCATCACACAAATTTGTCACATACAAATTCAAATAGTATGGACTGAGTTTTGGTTTCGAGTCAGCTTGATATTACCGTAGATGTTAAAATGAATGATATAAAAAAAATAATAAATCGTAGAAGCATTAAAAAATAGTTATCATAAATGCTTTTCGTATTTATCATTTTATGAGATGCAATATTTGTTTGTTCTACCGATAGTTAGGAACGGACAACCAGGCATAGTTTATATTCTGGATATCTGGTGCAAAACCAATTCTAGAGAAAGATGGAAATACAGTATAAAAAAATGTACCGGTATTAAAAGAATATCTAGATAGAATATGAACCTGCAAATTGACAATATATCCGCTTACAAAGAAGCAAAGGTCCAATTTGATACTCACATTGTGGGAATTATACAGACAAATCATTATTGGAATTGGAAGTGGTTTGGCGCATTATTATGTGTCTTGCATTGTAGTTCATGCTCGTAAGAATTGAATTTTAAACGTATAATACTATTTTTACCTCGGCACCGATCATATCTTGAGTAAGCATATTGGAAGTAAGGAGGAATAAAGGGATGATTTATAAATTTTTAATAATGCAGGTATCAGAATTTTAAATCAGGCAATACATAAATTATAAAATTTAAAAAAAAAGAAGGAAGTCATAAAGTTAATACTGTAGCAATTCACAAACTATTTTATTTCAAATAATTGAACATACAGAAAGACACATACTTTCGTTGTAGTGATAATGGACCAGGTTTGTCTAGTACCAACACTACAGTTATGAACTATTCATTTCATAAGCAGAAATCTATTTACACAGATAATAAATTATGTATATACATGAAAAATAAGTTACATTAATTACAAATCAATGCTTTTTGTTTTGCAAAATTTGGTGTGCTGTTTGTGCTTTCCGTCAACATCCTCACAATACGGATACCGGTACTAGTACAGTAATACATAGGCAGTCGCACGGTTTGGGCGGTCGTGCTAAGTACTTTGTGAAGGAGCGAGAGAGAAAATATAATTATTAAATTTTGGTAACTGAGGTAAAAATAAACCTTGTAACAGAGTTTCAAACCAACATGACAACTGACTAATAAGAACAGTGTCAGGAAAATGCGTGTTGTCGCTCAAACCAACATCACATACATACCGATATTTATAATGTGGTTTTTATGGGATCAGCAACACATCCAATGCGCATACTTAGCAGAAGAGTTATTCACTTCCGTTTATGTTTGTACATGCATTGTGATTGTGAAGAGTGTTTGCTGCTATTACATTCCTTAAGTGGGAGTGGGGATATTTTGCAGGGCATTAATAAGTTTCACAACCTTACAAAAACAATAACGACTATGAATACCATGCAATTCATTGTCGTCAATCAAGCCCAAAACATTTTTTCCAACACATATACGTACGTGCTGAATATGATAGTAGATTCATGTAAAGATAAGGATGGCTTATGTTGTGGTAGATAATGTATGCTGCTGTAGGGAATGGACTGACTGAAAATTTTTAGATGCATCATTCCATAAGCTTGCGAAAGGTCAAGGTATTTTTACACCTGCATACTCAAATTTCTCATTTTAATCATATTAACCAAATCTCTCAAAAAAAAACTTTCATTTGCAATCATATTATTAAATTAGGAAAATCAGATAAATCAAATCCTCCAAGTCATAAATAAATAATCTGTTACTATCTACATTCAAACATACACACTTCACTTTCCTTGAACAATACTCTTATTAAATTAACACCCAGTATCAGTAACCACAACAGTATAAAATACCCTCAAAGTTCACCACTTGAGGTAGTGATTAAAAAAAATGTGTGTATATGACATGTGACCACAAAACCCGGACAAAATTGTTTGTTAACATCTTGAGAAAATCAAAAATTCTCGAGTAAAACCTATGAAGTTTGATATTTTTCAGCGTATCATACTAACTACCTATTATCTGACAAAATTTTAACAACTTCTTTCAACTATAATTTAAAATTTTCATTTCAATTCTTTGTAAAACATGCATTATGTTTATGTTGATTGCTAAGCACACACTGTAATGTTCACTTTGAATGCAGTCATGCATGAACTTCACACTGAAGTTTAAAGTGTTTTTCTTGGTTGTGCTAATACTAATACAGCAGATCCCCTCCTCTGAGACACCACTATTAAGAGTATATTAACTATTAACGTAACAGCCAACCCCTATTCAGGCGACACTTTTATTGTGTCCCCTCAATCGGGGTTCTACTGTTTTTCATATTCAATTTCTCATTATTATTTAATAAAAATTAAATAAGTTGCATATTATTCTGCATAAGATAATTAACTACTGAATATAATTATAACCATGTTTTGATAACATGTCAATTTGTCCAGGTTTTGCGGGAAGACACCACCTATTCTGTTACTGTAAAAAACTGCTTTCAAACATATATTCTGTCCTTGAGTAGAAGATCCCAGTTAATTTGCGACGTGAACACTTCTCTGTCCAACCAAATCTCATAAAAGCGTTTGAACTCTTCGCTCAGGTTCATCTCCTGGCCCAAGACGCTCTGTAGATTGTTGTCCACTGGCTGGAATTCAGAATCTTTGCTGGAGTCGGTATCGTAGCGGCGAGAATTGAACCGGTCGACGCACGCACGTAGTGCACACTCTTCCGCCTGGAAATCCCATGGACGTGCATCCATATCTGAAGTAATGTGAAACAATGTTATACAATTTCTATTTTTACAACGAATTATTAATTTTCTATTATTTTTAAAAAGTTGTTTTATATTCATGAACAAGATAAAGTGTCTAAAGATTGTGGTAAACTGGAAAGCTAAAAATATAACAATATAAATGCACACGCCGGCTTGATTGAGGTAATATCGAGTTCACCCTTTCAGACAGAGCAAGCGATTAACCATTACCGCAATATTGCGGCAATATTACTAGGGTGCTATGTGGCCTAAAGTAAGCTGGCATATTGGCGTATCAACCCTTTCAGACAGAAACCCATGTCAACGTGCTTACCACAATATTGCAGTATTACAACTCTGTCTGAAAGGGGCATATGTGACATGTGACCACATGTTGAGAAGATCATCAATGATGATGATGATGATGATGATAATGATAATATCAACAATAATTATAACTGACCCACTAATCGCAGTTGTGCTTATAAATTCTTTTATGTTTTAGTGCAGCACTAACTTACAAGGGGTAGTAAAAATAATTATTATAATAATAAAGGTGACCTTAGTGTGGAAAACAGTTTCAAGAGCACAATAAAGAATAAATATTTTGATCCATACATATTGAACATTTATACATCCTATTAGAGACCAATTTTGCGACCGACGTTTCCATGGTCTTTATGTAGGATATTGGTAGGTTCAAACAGGTATGTTGTTGGATAAGTACAAGTTAGTCGAATTACACACAGAAGAAACATACAACTGTTCTGTATGGTATCTAACAAGTGACTAATTTATTCAATATATACACAATATGTGCAAGATGAAATGTGTGTCGTATACATTCCACAACTAACAAACAGCATAATGAATCTCTGTTTGGTAGTGGATGTGGTTTTATCCTAATTAAGCCATTGGTCTGAAGTAAAGTTCTTATACAACCACAGATATGTGTATCTGTGCGATAACATATTAATCAATGTAAAGAGTGGACTTTCACTTTGGTCCTGATTAATAGGTTTAATTAACTATGAAACAAAGAACAATGAATTGACTATAATATGCATCGGCTTTGCCAACACTTTAGAAGCTTTGGTCTTAAATGAGAATAAAAGTTAAAAGATATTTGTTAATTTTGGACCACAAAAATTTGGAGGTTCTTTAATTGGAGTTGGTCTATAATTGGAGGGGTCTTTAATTAGATTGCAACCTATATAACTAAATGATTATAAACAAACGAATCCAAGCAACGAAAATATTTCAGTCAAATTCTTCCTCAGTACATTACAGTTTTGAAATCAACTTACCATTTCCGTACGCCCAATCATCGTTGAGCCGGTGTCGCACTTTTTGGTATATGGCAGACATGGTCCTCATGTTACTCTTGCGCCACTGTCGTCCTAAGTATTTTGTTTGTACCTTAAGTAACTTTAGGACGTAGAGTTGCATCATCGCTTGCTTCACCTTCAGAGCACGTTTAAGAATCGGTGCTGACTTGAATACAACTAACATCTGTTGCGATTGAAAAACAACGTTTTAGTATTGGCCTGTATAGCAACACTTATTATCTAAACCATATTTATAATATTTATCTCTGAGTTATAACAAACATTTTCTTTTACTGGCATTTTATTATACTTACAATTGTTATATTTTTTCATTGCAGTACCATGGATTGGATTGGATTGGATTGCTTCGGTGTGATACACATGAAGGATAACAGACGAAAGTCTTCAGACTTGTTTCCTGTAGGGTTATTCTGGTGGTGAATTGGGCAGTGTACCAGAAGACAATTCCCTACTCTTTTCTGAAGAGTGTACTGCATTCTTTAACGTCTACATGGGCTATTTTGCACACAGGACCAATGGCTTAAACGTCTAATCCGTAAAATGGTGCGCTTTTTGAAACTTGCATTTCAGCCCTCCAGCTGAAACACAAGGGAAGCAGCAATGGGAATTGAACCGGGGACCAAGAGATCTTCACGGTTCTGCACAGACACCGTGGTTACCACCAGCTCAGCCGACTGTTCTAAACTGCTCTCTCAATAAACTGACATATGGTTTTCTTATCTAACAAACTCAACAGATGAATATACATCAAATCATTGCATAAACTTACCATTGTTCTAGAGTGTTTCCATTTTGTCAGTTTATTAAGGATTCTAAGCAAATTAATACAAGAGAATAGGTTGCGCCAACAATACGGGATATTATCACCGGCTTCCTGCAATACAAAACAAGCATTCATAATGAATCATATTACAACGTATTAAGGGTATGATATGCAAATGTTCAATTAATGAATCATTTTTAATTACCCTCTATTAGACTAGAGTCTATGCAGATATAAGACAACTAAAAATGTCAAGCTGATAAAAAAAAAAAATGCACATTTTAGAAATAGCACAAAAGATTTGATGTAATCATGTTTTTGAATTAACAACAACCCATCTGTACGAAAAGAAAAAAACAAACGCTTTTACTGCTCATTAAAAGGAACATTACAAAAAAAATTTTATGACAGTGAATTTTTGAAAAAGAAATGTATTTATAGCTTAACCAAGCTCACACTGCGTCGAATGATGGTTGTACAGCCCGGCTCACTGTAAAGCTTGACAACATGATGCGGTCTGCTGTTGATGGGAGTGTCAATGGATCATCAATGAATACGATTTTGCTGCGCACATGTTGCCTTACGTTTTCCATTAAATCGCAATTGCTGACTACCGCAAAAATCAGTGTGTGTCCGCCTTAAAAAATAATTAGTAGTTACTTACTAAACTTTCTGCAGTTAGTTCAGGCTGGTCTCCTATCACGCACAATGGAAAATCTATGGCTGGTATACTACAAGAAGAAATACAACAGAAATAGAAAATGTTAAACATAGATCCAATGAAAAATCAGTTTGAAAACCGGGTAATAATTTTTCTTATCCAACAATAGATTTGCAAATAGCAGGACGGAAGTAAACATATCAATAGTCTTGTCATAATTTTATATCATAAATTTGGCACAAATTAAACCTAAGCCCATAGGAAAACTAAAATCAATATCAAGGTTTCTGTTACAGTGAAACGTATTGTTGTTATGGAATGAGAGCTTCTCTACGGCTTATATAGTAGTCATGAACCATGAAGATATTTACTTTAGCACAATGACACTGCAAGACATGGGTTATCCTTCTACCTTTAGGCGAGACTTTTTTTATTAATGACATTAATTATGTCATCATCAGGAATTCCTGATGATGACATAATTAATGTCGAAATATTGAATCCCAACACGATGGCGTGTATTTCAATACTTGGAGTATGTATTATACTTTCTTATCTGAGATTAATCAGTGGACCTTTCGGCTTTTTTTATACCTTGTTTAGTGTAGCCGCCGACTGCAAATATTGATGATTTCAAATAAAAATACAATTTTATTTTTGGCAAATTAGCGCGGCACCCGCCACCACGAAAAAGTGGAAATTTCAGAAAAAAATAAAAGCTTTTCTTTTTTTTTTTATTACGCCCTCCACTGCCTTGAAATTTTCAAAGATATGTATATTTCTTTCTAATTCGTCTGGATAATTTTAGTAAAAGTATTTGCTAAATAAGAAATTTATTTTCATTCCGCCATCCTTTGATAATCTTTGAAATAATAAGTATGCGAAACAAGGAATAGAAAAAGTCTTGCCTTACCCACACGGATCATATGTGGCAAAGACAAGCCAAATCAGTCTCTCAATGCAAAAATAAATTTTTAGTTATTAATACAGTGTTGAACAGTAAAATGAGAGCTAGAGAATCGTAAAGGAATCATATAAATCCGACATTTCATTATGAAGTTACAGGAGTTTAAACATACAGTTGTTTAAAAAAACAATATTTGAAAAAGCAGCCTTCAAAGTTTATGATTTCGGGCGTTTCATAGGCAGAAAAACCATCAAATTCTAAAAAATGTTTATTTTAACATTGAAAATGGGGAAATAACAGCATAGCTTGATGTATAGGGTTAGTTTAGTGTAATAAAATAGATTTTCAAAATTTTGACATTCCAGCATGTTTTGGTTCTCTGAAACAGGATTTGTGACAAATGACTGGTTTGGCTTCTCTTTGCCACATATATAGAGACCCCTCCAATTAGAGACCATCCAATAAAGACCACATTTCTGTAGTCCCAAATAACAAATCATTTTAATTCAAGACCCAAGCTGCTGAAGACTATGAAAACTCAGGCACTCAAAACTGGTCTTTAATTGGTGGTAGATCTGTATTTTATTTAACTGCTTTATCATATTTCTACAATTTTGGTATACACAAGCTCATTTCGTACCTGTTTTTTGCGGCAATATATGCAAGAATGTTTTGATTGAAGAACTTAAGAACAAGAGGAATGCAATTAGCAAACACAAGATGTTGGCTCATGAATTCAAACTGAAAAAGAACATAGAGATCAGTCACAAACGAATTTATCTATCAACCAAGTGCCAATCAATAAAACATTATTGAGGCTTGCCAATTCAAAACCAGCATTCAGTTGCTAAATATTAACCTAAGAAATTAGCATAAGAATTTGCCATACTTTAGTACAGAGAAGCTGTAATACTTTTATTCATAACTTTGGAAATAGTAAGACGACTCCAGTAAATGGGAAAGGCAGTTTGAAACAACGATTTCAAATCAGGTTCTGAACCTCATTGTTGAGGGTTCGCATCATACGCTGACCAAGCGCAGCTGGCCATGCTTAGTTGATAGGTTGTGAAGTGGCTCCCCTTATGTTTCAGACTTAACTGCCAGTATTTCATGGCTTATAAAATTAAATAAATATTTTGGCTGCCTCTTATCTATATTGATGGTAAAATCAAGCCTGATTTACCAGGACATACAAAAAAAAAATTAAAAAAATGACCTATCATTGGCAAGCCCTATTTGTCAATTAACCAACAGTTCAACAAACAAATCAATAAATAAATATATAGATTATTGCAAAAAAAATCAATCAATCAATCAACCAATTGCATTATAAATTATAATTAGAAGAGTCAATATAAAATATAGATAATAATAAAATATAATAAATGGTAATTTATATAGTGCCGGTCAAAATATAGATAATAATAAAGTATAATAAATGGTAATTTATATAGTGCCGATCTCTGCCGCAAGAGTAGTGCTTATGGCATTTTGTGTAATTCTATCTACAGTAAAGACTTGTCCAGACCATCAACGTCGCGAGGTAAAAACAAAATGTTGGAAAACTTTTTCCTGATGCATGCGCTATTTCACTCTAACTGTCCACACACACACACACCCACAAACATACACACACCCACACGCGCAAAATGTGATTTTAAGTGTCCCTATTGCATTCTATGCATACAAACTAAAAAGCATGTGACATCACATCACATCATGACCATATATAGGCACATCATGACTATATATAGACATACAACAATTTTTTGTCAAATCAAATTTGCTAGTCTGAAAAGGACTTAAGGTTTCAGGTCTCTTGAAACTTGACTGCAGCTGGAAATCTGTTCCATATTTTTTGTTATTTTTTTAAGTAAAATTAAGAATGGTACAGTGAATACGGAAAGAAATTAAAGCGCACCATACAATACAGTATTTATTGGATTACACTTTCATAGCAGTGGCACACGTTAGACAAAACCTAACGGTGCATCCAGAAAAGGACAAAAAGTAAGCAACAAAAATATAAAAATATTTTACCATCTCACCTGATAAACATGGTTGAGTTTAAAATGTTTGAGGAGCAATAAAAGCAGTCCTGAGATTGCTTTCACGATAATTTCCTTGTGTCTGTTCACATCAACGCCAAGTTTCATCGATTGTAGTACCGTCATTCTGGGGAAAAAAAATCACTTTAATTTTTAACAAAAACAAATTGTTCCCAGAAATATCTTAACCAAAAATCATTATTGTCATCATTTTTATCATCAGCACTTCATCCCCATAAATATCTTAAAAAAAATATTAAAAATTATCAAAGCAATACCATTGAGGAGTGACAGTAAAATTTGTCGGAAAAAACAAAACATGGTGGGGCTGAGATGGATGTGGACTCCCACTCTTCTATCAGGAAATGATAGACCACCTGTGTTTGGGAAAAGATGTTGCCCCCTCCCCTCCCCCTAGATTTATAATTTGGTGTGAAAAATTATGCACAGTATTAATAAGTGCCACAATAAATTTATACTCTGAAATGCAATTAATTGTCTAAAACTTACGGCATTTCTTCTGGTAACACATCAGCCAATATGTTAATAGAATCTGTCTTAGCCTTAGAGGTCGGTGCTGCTGCTAGTAAAATCTTCAACAAGGCAATCTAGCAAGAAGAAAACATGATAATTATCATTTGTATTATTAATATCTTGCAATATCTAAATCATAAATGCTATAAAAATATAAATAACATGAAGCATATCTATATATCTGTATATAAAAAAAACTAATGAAAAAAAAAACCTAATTGGGAAATGTAATTGAAAAAGCATTTGTAGTTGATGACTGATCATAAACAAAACAAAATTAATATAGTGCAGGATAATAAATACATTTGAATGGAGAGTTTTAGAGTAAAACCAAGGGTAACCAATAAAAGTAAAAAGACACATTTTATGTAGTGTCCTGGTTCTGTGGTGAACTGGTCCATAAACAAGAAAAGATAATCTCCTGCTCATTTACAAAGAATGTACTGCATTCTATAACATGCTCATGGGGCAACCTTGCAATATAGTGGTGAATCCAGTAGGGGCACGGGGTAAAGTGCTCCCGCGTTATGGTAATAAATTTTACTTACTTATCAAAAAATAAAAAATGTTGTGCCTCCCGTGCAAAATAATGGACTAAAAGCTTAACGTCTTTTCCAAAAGATTGTGCAATCTTTAAAATTGCATTTCAGCCACTATGGCTGAAACACAAGAAAAGCAGTGCTGAAATTGAACCACAGTTTAAAGGTCTGAAATGATATTTTAATGTTTATTAAGCATACATCTTGCCTATAACAGATTGTCCTTATTGCATTTTTCCCCAGAAAAAAAATTTTTAACAATGTATGGCAATGAAAATAATGTTGGCAAAGATACAGCACAAAACAAATACAATTAAGGAAAAGTGTATGATGCTTGAGGACAGCAAAGCCTCAAAGCTAAGTATTCAAGAGGTAATCAATATTCATTTAATAATTTGTGAAGGGCGCCCTCACCATATACTGTGGGAGACTTGACAACATTGCTTGGTATAGAATCTCAGCAGCTGTGTTTGGTATATCCTCTTCTCCCTATTACAAAAAAAAAAAAAAAAAAAAAATACACAG